TCGAAGATCACGAGCTCTCTCGACGCGAAACGAAAGAAACTTGTTGTTTTGCATTTTTACACCTTCGAAAACCGGATCAGAGATCTGCATTCTGTCGCCTGATAACAAACTGCGCCTTCTTTGGACACCCGAAAAAACTTGCAACTCGCGAAAGTATTTAAAGTGCATGCACACGCCGAAATTGTGATACTCGTTAAAAGAGAGATACACTAAGGCGTGTATTAACAATTGTCGCCTAAAACTTTTTTCGTGTGGAAAAACTCAGATTTTTACTCAGAGTTAGGTCCAAGTTTTTCAGGCGTTTTCTAAATTCAAATTTGATCATCTCACTTGAAACGATTTCAGGTAATAACTATTAATACGTGTCCTTGTATTAAGGGGATGCCGGAGCGAGCGACGAACTTGATAAGCGTCGATAACGTAGAGCGATCATCCAAAAGTAGAAAAGGTTATCATCATTTACCGACGATATCAAATTTATATGCACATAGAAATTTATGGAATAAAGACGATCGTCAAATAGGCGCTAACATGATACCGCTATCATCTTTTCACAGATGTTATGCAAGTGTGTGTGCTACGTTGTCATTTCAATTTCCTTACACATAAACGTTACGTAAATGTGAATACCACGTTGCCGATATTCGCATTCTCTCAAAAATAAGCTCTTGCTATTTTTCTGATAAATTCTTCAAACAGCTTATGTACTAGGTGCATCAAAGGAAGAATTTTTAGAGAAGAGTGTTGTAGGCGCAAGCATAGTTTGCGAATAATTTTTTTGAAAAATATGTTACCCATTATTTGAGTTTTCAATATAATTAGTAACGGTAATTTGAGATATCATTTTCATTTCGCACTGATCAATGTTACACTTTATTTTCACACGTAATTTTATCATATAAATTGGAGCAGTCAGTACGCTGTAATTTTTTTAAAATAAAATCAGTGTCACGATAGCAATAGTTCCACATCGTTTTCACCCTTGAGTGCTTTATTTCATTTATGCATGTACTATACAAAAGCATTTTTAATTTGGTCAAGTTAACACAAAGTAAAATTTGTTAGGAAATGACGTGATACCGAATATCTTTGCAAAACTATTGTCTCGTGCTGATTCGACCAAATTAAAAACCCTTTTGCTTAGTGAAAGTACGTGCGAAAATGAAGCGGAGCATCCATCAATATGAAACAAAAACGATAAGAAACAATTACTATCACGATATCGAATCTTTCTGCAAAGACTACTTCTTTCTACCTCCGTCGAATGAAAAACCCTTTTGCATGGTAAAAGTACGTGCGAAATGAAGCGGAGCATCCCATGTGATCCAGGAAACGATGCAAAGCAAAATAGTCAAACTTCATATCATTTTCGAAAACACATCTTTGTGAACGCGAAAATTATTTCAAAAAACTGCAAAATATTATCCTAAAATGTGCTCTAGATACTAACATTATATGATCTAAATAACCTGCAGTAACATGACCGCTTTCGGTAAATATGCAAAAATCCGATATTCCTACGACACTAAGTTGAATCTAACGTTATGAACGCGATTTTGGGCTATTGGAAAATTATTTCCAAGATTCTGAGCGTGTTACTGAGAGAGTGGAGTGACATTAACGCACATTATCATCCAAGAGACGATGCAGAGCGAAATACGCACACTTCATGTCATTTTCGAAAATATACCCTTGCAAATGTGAAAATTTCTTTAAGAAACTTTAAAAAATTATCCCAGGCTTAACTAACTCGGCTTAAGAAATTAGCGAAGACTCAAAAAACTTCGGTTCGAATCTCGGCTTAATAATTCTGCGGAAACACAAAACACATCGGTTCGAATCTCGGCTTAATAATTTAGCGGAAACACAAAACACTTCGGTTAAATCTTGGCTTAATAATATAGCAGAGCCTCAAAACACATCGGTTCGAATCTCGGCTTAATAGTTTACCGGAATCTCAAAACACTCGGGTTCGAAAATATAAAAAAATATCTCCGAAGAGATAGTATGTCGTATATAATACGACATAACAAGTTATAAAGTATATTAATCAAATATATATAAAGCATATATATATAAAACATATATAGAGCATAAAAAACATATATAATATATACAGAACATATAAATATGACATGTTGAAATATATCAGTTTAATGTATCATCAAGAAATAATCCGACGAGAAGGAAGCCTACCGAGTCGAAATTTCAATTGGCCATTGTTATGCAAAAATGATCCAATTAAAAAAATTATAAGCTTTTATCAGTGGATATTCTATTCACATCTTTTCAATCCAAACAAAAAAATTCAGATTTATAGATGCTTGAAATAAATTAAGAGTTTTTTTATTTTTTACCAGTCGCGTCTTTTTGCACATTTTTCTAAGGATTTTTCTAAGGAGCTAGTCAGTACTCTTAAAGAAATGAAAATGCTTGACTCGTTGAACTATTGCGAAAATCTCAGAGCTAAATTTTTTGGTTGGATCATTCTTACGTAATTCCTGGCGAATTGCAAATTCCAATTCTTACTTTACTTTCCGTCGGACCCAATGCGATTTACGTCTACGTGCATGCAATCTACGTAAAGTGACGCTTTGTGTCTACTGTATGAGCGTCTAAATTGAGCGCTCACCATTGCGCGTCGTCCCACGGTGTCCAGGGTCCATCAGCCACCCTGTCGCTGCATCTGACACTGCAATGGTCCACGTGTCCCACGTCGCCTGTAATTCACTCCCGACCGCGGTAATCTAACGGAGGTTTCACGAAAAATCTCGTCTCTTTTGAGGGATACACTTCGAGTTACGAATTGCATATGAAATATCGCGAACTGCGTCTTCGAGGAAATATTGGCCTTTCGGATAAACGACGAGTATGTGCGACAATAAATTCAGCAACGGTCCGAGTTGTAGTGTATCGCTTTGATACACGCGCGACGCAAATTGCTTACGAAAAAAACGAAATCCGCGAGCGAAGGAAACACGCGACGCGAGTCGAAGGCCGATTTCGCGAAATCTTTCGACGCGTGGGTGAAATAATTTGTACGAAATTCTCACATACGACACGGAACATCCCTAATGTAACGTTTCGATGGTGCAGCGTAGCAAGCTGCAATAAAGATCCGCAATATTTTTGCGGATAACAACTCCGCAATACTTTTGCGAAGACAATTTCGCAATGTTTTTGCGGATAACTCCGCAATATTTTTGCGAAGACAATTCCGCAATGCTTTTGCGGATAACAACTCCGCAATACTTTTGCGAAGACAATTTCGCAATGTTTTTGCGGATAACTCCGCAATATTTTTGCGAAGACAATTCCGCAATGCTTTTGCGGATAACAACTCCGCAATACTTTTGCGAAGACAATTTCGCAATGTTTTTGCGGATAACTCCGCAATATTTTTGCGAAGACAATTCCGCAATGCTTTTGCGGATAACAACTCCGCAATATTTCTGCGAAGTTTGCTCGCGATTCTTCCGCAAATACAATCCGGTGAAATTCGTAAACTTATGAAATTAATAATTGCGAACGCGAGCGTAAATGAAAAATCAAAAACTATGAAAATTGTGACGATGAAGAGATAAAGATTCTATTCAAAATTCTCGCGAAAAATGTTACCGCGTGAAACGTCTATCTTCGTTCGATGGAACTTGTCGCGCGCCGCATAATTAAACAAACAACTGCTCGCATATCTGACTTGGATATATCCCGTTTTTCGCAAGGAATCAACGCTCGTAGTCAGCATTATCTCTATTGTGTCCCGCGTTAAGAAATTCTAACTCTAAGTGAAAAATTGAAACTTTTCGGAGATCGTGAAATTAATTTTGCGAGCAGTTTATATAATCACGTTAGATCGCTTCGCGTAGATGCCGCACGATATCGAATATTACTTAATAACGAAGCACTCTACTTTATGAAATGCAATCATGACTCAAACTCAAACGGGAGAGATGATGTGATTACGCATTTCCTGTGGCGCAATCTCTGCGCGTTGCCGTACTGCTCAAGACACCTGGAAGATCACATTCAATAAAACTGAATAATTTTACAAAATTTTGAATATTTAGAGCGTATACTCAATACTTCAAACATCTACAAGATAATGTTGGGGTTTGATTAATCAAAATTTCCTCCGACAAAAATCATCGACCAATCAATAATGTAAGTTAATCAATTAATAAATATATGTACATTGGGAAAAAACTACTTGAAAATTTATTTGCCAAATTTATGTAGATACTAAATTATTATGCATTACTAAATTATTCTTTAAAAAAGCGATCTTCCAAATATTTCGAGCAGGGTTTTTATTGGACGGCACATACGCATACTACAACTACAGCAAAGTAAATCGCATTGATTCATAAGCATGCACTACATCGAAAGACTTTTTTGTTTTTCTATTATCAATATGTTTCTTGTTTTAACTCACCAAACCGCTGATCAGGGCAGCCACGTTCTGCTTTCGTTTCTGGAACAGAAAAATGCGTTTCGCCGATTAGATTCGTGCATTGATGTTGATTTGAGTGAAGAAATTTGGAAAATTAAAAAAAAAAACATAAGCGCGATATTTTTTACGCTGGAAGAATTTTTCGGAATACATTCACACTTGAAATATTCTACTTTACTTAGAAAAAATTCTCCTCGCGTGTAATTGCGATTTAACGCGATCTTTGGTTCGATTCAAATAATCTCGATTTCGAGCAAAAGAATTATCAACTTTGTCGGATTTTTAATTACAAATGCTAATTCATGAAGCTCACCTTCGAGCTAACCCTGCTTGGCCCGAGCCGGATCCTCCGGCGCAGCAGCCCCTAAGAGTCGGCTGGTCGTCTGCTTCGTCTCTGCAACAGAAAGCAGATTTAATTTAATATTACACAGGACAGTGGAGACATTAAGGAACTCGATTTCAAATAAGAGAATTTCCAGTTTTATTGGATTTTTCGGAATTATGAATTCAACTTACCTTCGCGCCAACTCTGCCAGGCCCGAGCCGGATCCTCCGACGCAGCATCCCCTTAGAGTCGAGTGTTCGTCTCTGCAACAAAAAACATATTTAATTGAGTATTAATTAGTTACACGACGATGGAGACATTAAGGAACTCGATTCCAAACAAGAAAATTTTCAATTTTGTCGGATTTCTAAGTACAAATTAATGAAGCTCACCTTCGAGCCGACTCAGAAAGGCCCGAGCTGAATCCTCTGGCGCGGCATCCGCAAGCATCGCATCCCCTAAAGCCGTGTGACTGCATCTGCTCTATTGGATCTCTGTGACATAAATTTAATTTAATTTAGTAATTTAATAATTTAGTATCAATTAGTTATACACGACAGCAAAACGAGGAAAAGAAATTGTCATAACAGCACGCTCGAGTTCCTTCCCAATGCGTAATAAACATAAATAAATGATAACCGAATAAAGAAGTAATAATATCCGATTAATTAAAGGACGATGATGATAATATCTGATTAATATTGAGGAACTCAATCGCGACGTTTCTCTTTTTAACAAGTAAATGAAACGCGTAAAAAGGTAAATAAAATGCGGTAGTTACCCGCCGCGTTAAAACCCGCAACACCTGCTCGCGTGATGAGTACGCGTCTTAATGCGTCTTCATGTGTTAATTGTCATCTTAATTGTCGCGGAGTCGAAACGCGGTATTAAAAATCGGCGCGGAATAATTAGAAAATAACGCGGCAACTCCCAATACGTTTGTCTCGTCGGTTAATAGTGTTATAGTGTGACACTCGCCCGCGTGTTTACATGACCCGACTGCGCCCCCGAAACGCCGCGGAGTCTCGCCCGAGCGAGACCGTTACGACAGCCCATTTACCTAGACTTTGTTCAACCTAAAGTTTTTGTTAGAGCCGTTACATAGGTATTATTATTACCGATTATTTGATCATCATTATTTCGTTATTATCCACTCGCGGATATTATCACACAATTATCGAGCAGATATTATTACCATTTAATATTCGAGTATAGAAAATTATTTTAAAAATTATGAAAAATATTTTCCATTAGTGCGTAAGTAAACGTATGTTGTAAACGTATGCTGTTCAGTATCCACCAAATAAATATTTACTATTTCTTAGATATTTTTGTCTTTCAGTGTGAATATAAAGGTTTCCACTATTATCAATTCGGTTTTCACTTAAATTGCGTTTTATGCCCGTAAAACGTAAAATTGACGAGACTGCTAATTAATCACGTCATCGTAACAACACACGATACGATAAAAGGAATCTCAACAATTCGATTGCAGATTGTTAACTTTGGCGCAAACACAAAGTGTCTTTCGTACTTACATAATCACGCTGTTCGATCCTCATGGCACAGAAGGACGACTTCACGTTCACCGGAAGCGCGGTAATTTTTCCCGTGCAATGGCGTTGGTTTCAAGTCGCTACGTCGTCCACAAGTAGAGTTATTCACAATTATATCGATCCGCGTTCTAGATCGTTCAGCAGAAAAGACGCAACGAATGAAAGGAATGCGGAGCGCGACCCTCTCTCTCTCCCAGAGAGTCACCTACTACTATACGCGACGGGATGCGATAGTACGGCTCATTGCCCCCCCCCTCTCCCCCGTATCACGCGACTCAGATAAGCAGATACTCCGCCCACTTTCTCGCCGCGGTCATTCACCTCACTTTAGTACGTATACGCCCGTATTAGACGTCTATGCAGCGAGACTTCAAAAGCTTATAACACGCGAAATAAATCGAGATAAATCGAGGTAGTGATATAAAATAAAAGGAATTTCCTTAGCACGCGTCTATACTGCTCCTTCGTTGTTCAGTTGAAAGAGTCGAGTGTTTTAATCGATTGAAGCGAATACGGTGGTCAGAATTGCGAGTAATTAATTATTTCTTCAATTAATTGTCGAATTTAATTAACGATTAATATAAGGCTATTCAATTAAAAATATTTTAATTAACCACTGACTTCAAGAAATCTAATTAAAAATCATTGAATTGAAAGAAATTGATTTGAAAGAATTTAATTAAAAACTGCTGAATTAACGATTAAAGCGAGCGAAAATAATTAAAAATTATTCATTTAACGATTAAACATAGTCAATGTAATTAAAGGTTATTTAATTGACAATTAATATAAGCAAATGTAATCGAAAAGCGCAGTAAGACGATTGACCAATCGATTAGGACATTGCTCATGGTAACCAATCGAGCTGAATATATGCTTATATATATATATATAAAAGCATATATTCAGCTCGGTTGGTCAATTGTCTTACTGCGCTTTTCGATTATATTTGCTTATATCGATTGTCAATTAAATAATCCTTAATTACATTAACTATGTTCAGTCGTTAATCGAATAATCTTTAATTACTTTCACTCGTTTTAATCGTTAATTCAGCAGTTTTTAATTAAATTTCCTCAAATCAATCATTAATTGAATGATTTTTAATTAGATTTCTGAAGTCAGTGGTTAATTAAAATATTTTTAATTGAATAGGCTTATATTAATCATCAATTAATTAAATTAGAAATTATTTACTCAAGTCAATTATTAAATTGAGGCGAATTTAATTGATATTTTTACAACTGGATGAGAGTTTTTTAGTTAAAGTAACGATTGCAAATAGAGAAATGTTACATATATTATAATTTAATTAATAAACGAACTCAAATCTCTGAATAAAAATCTAACTCACATGAGACAAGTTTCAAGTGGCAACTATTAATATGGAGGCCTATGTAAAAAATTCAATTAAGCTCATAATTAGTCTTTTAGACTTCACTGTGCCACACACACACACGCATATAAAGAAAAAGAGAGCAACATATTCTCTACGACGGAAATATCTTTCGTCTCGTAAAGCATTTTTGTCATTTACGCCTACGTAGGTGGTCTTGTCGTTCACAACCGAATCGTCTGGCCACAGAATACTGTTAATTAGGACCTTTGTCCCCGGGATCGATACGAGTCCGAGGTGGGGTTGAATTCGATCGTGGTCTAGTAACACAGATGATAGAAACCGATACGGCCGTAATGGATCACGTAGATACAATCGCGAGATCCTGTATTTTTGCGACTAAGCCGGCCACTGTTTCGGTAAGATACATCGATCGTGCCGAGCGGATGCACGTCCCACGGGGCTCGTTAAGAGGACACGATCGTGCGCCCGACGAGGACGGAATTATCGGAGAACGGCAAGAAATCCGACTCTCCGTAGGCGGCTTTGTAATGCTAAGACGTCGCCTACCTGTGTCCCATGGCACTTATTAAATCTTGCTCTGGCATCTTCGCCCGTACCTTTCATCTCGGGTTACTGCTCGGTACTTCGGCGCGCCAATGCTACCTACGCCTTGGAAGTCACAGCCTTCGCGCGTTGCGAGATTTGTTGGAATCAGCGTCTTTTATTCTCGGGCCACGTCGCGCTCCGCCATTTCCAAACGCGCTTCATCGTCAATCGGATATTCAGCGAGATCGTCTTGAGCCCTGCATCATCTCTGTCGAAAACGAGCAACTTACATGCATGCGCGATGTGCACACGCCCGAGAGTATGTAGTTCTACATACGTTTGTTGCGTCAAAGGAAAGCGTCTCTCAGCGCCGAGAAAATCGAAAAAGCGCGCGGAGAAAGGTACCGGCTCGTTAAGGACTTTGTTATTAGATTTCTCACCGGGAACTTTCTTTCACAGTCCCCCCCCCCCCCCCCCC